ACTCTTTTGCTTTTAGGGTCATAAAGTATATTTATTAAAAAGAGTCCAAAGATCACAAAATCACAGAATCACAGAATGTTGGGTGTTGGAAGGGGCCGCAAAAGATCATCTGGTCCAACTCCCTAAGAGAAGTGTGAAAGAATAAGTGTGCTTCTATTACAAAATAGAGCAGTAACAAAAACACCCTCGTATTTTTGCCAGATTTCAGCCAGTGTGCTATCATACTGTGCACTATTGGGTTGTTTGCTAAACATAACTAAGCAGATATAGGTTTTTAGTATCTTTGCTTAATGTGTTGCACTCAGGAAGATATATTACATTCAATAAGAAAGATAATGTATTTTAGAAAATTGGAATAGTGAGTGGAATGTGCCAATAGATTAATCACTTTTCACATCGGTTCTATCCCTCTGAAATAGAAATACTTCCTATAGTATGTTAACATCCTGCAGCACAGTTGATGGATTAAATGGTCATGATTACCTCTGTACATGTACCTTTTAAGAACTATTTGAAATTAACAGCTACATAAAAAGAGCGATAAATAAAGAATGAAGCCACTTGCTTGCTTTCATTGGTTTGAATCTCAAACAGTTTTGTTTTGTTTTGTTTTTTTCCTGGAGAGGCTCTTCCCTTCTTTTTTGAACATTTATTTGAAACCTTTGCAGCGTGCCAGTATAAAAAAAAAATATTACGGAACATTTACACAATAAGCCAGTCACCCATCCTGTCATTTTCCACATCCCCATTGTAATTATTTGAAATCCTTATGCTTGAAGATGAGTTTTTCTCCCTCCCAACCCAGATTCTATTTTCGGAATAGACTTGTAATTGTGTGTTTGTTAATGTAGCTGTCTGTTGCCATGAACAAAGTGAGGTCACCAATTTTCTATTACAGCTTTGCCACAGAGTTAAGGACTCTAAAACAAAACTAGCACATGATTGAATGCACTGTTTTTTCTTTTCTATTGTTTTATTTTGTTCTGCTATCATTCCAAACAATATCTAGGGTAGATAATTGACATGAACTACCACATGTTTTGATAATCTGAAGTTATTCCTAGAGTTACAGCTTGTATATCACTATTATATCTAATATTCAATGCTTAGATATTCTCCATTTAAGACTTGGCAAGAATATTCCTGGGAGTAAATTGAGGATTAATGTGCACGAAACATTTTTAAAAAGTCTTATTAATCAAACTCAATGTTGTTTGCTAAGAAAAAGTTCATCTGATTATGTTATATTGCAGCATCCAGTGCTCAAAATATTTGTATTTTGAATTAGTATTTATGCACTTTTCAAATAATAGTCCATACAGATCACTCATTTATTTTATCAGTACACCATCAGTCCTAAGGTTTATACTGCTGTTACAGTTTCTTCTGACTCTAGGATTTTTTTGTCCATCTGTCTTAAACCCTTCAAATCTTTTGTTATAATATGTATATGCCGGAATGCGTGAAAGAATTGAAAACATGAGGCAGATTCCTAATAAGAGCTGTCATGGCTACCTTGAAGTCAGCAACTTTTGTCAATATAGCTGTGACAAGTCAGAGGAGGCAAAGGTTTGACTTAGAACATCTATGCATCTTCAGTACTTTACATCCTTAATAAACACATTATTTATAGTGTTTCAGAAAGGCTGAAGATGAACACAGAATCACCAACAGGAGCATGGAGGGAAAATGAGTTTTTTAATATGTAATGCTATTTTTTTTGAAAGGCTATTTCAGATATTCCTGTCTGAAAACCAGCAGCACTTGAAAACATGAAAAAATATGTACAAAAAACCCTGTATTTTGTTGATTTCTGTTACAATGAGATTTCTTCAATTACCATAAAGTAGATACTTGCACTGGGCTCTGGATCCACCTATCTTTTGGTTTTACCACATAATGCCATTCATTTTATGCAATAATAATGTGAGAAAAAATGTTTGATTACATGCTGAACGAAAAGACAGTTAAGCCCCACAACATAAGTACCTCGTCTTGATCACCTTGTTATGGGGAAAAATAAAAGATTTAAGTAGAAATATGTTTAAAACAAAAGGACAAAATTAGCAAAATATGCAGAGATGAGTTTTGCCACGCAGTTTAGGTTCTATGAGCATATAAAAATACATCCATGTTTTGTCTAGTTATGAGAAAAGCTGGACTAGGCACTGCTGAATGGAGAATTCAACAGCTCAAGGCTCCCAGGGCAAAAACTGAAACACAGTGGAATGAAACTGTGCCTTTACGCACATTAGGAAATATGTTCATCTGAGTGTGTTTGCTGCTGTCTGTCTCTCGCCTCAGCAGGCTGTTTCTGCCTTAGCTGAAGCCACAGCTTCACTTGCTGGGTAGAGAATTCCAACTCTCTCCTCCCTGGTTTCGGTACCGACGTAAGCCACATTACATGCAGTACAACTAAAATAAAAATGAAGCTGGAAGTGGTCTGAAACTTAGCAGATCTCTTTGTCAACTTTTAGATTATGTATTGGCTCAGTAACTTATTCCTGCTAAATTTGAGCACATGCTTAGTATTAAGTATTTGTCCAGGACATTTTAAGTATCAGTATTTTGCTCTCTGATTGAATAGGGTTTTTTTCCACAGACTTTATTTTATTACCAAGTGAGGCAAACACCACCGTTCCACTCCAGCAGTTAATATACTCCTAGCTCACTCTCCATTTAGACTTATGTACTAGTGTGACACTGGAAAATACTGATAATATTGCATAGGGAAGAAGTATTCACATTTAAGACTTCTCTATGATAGTGTCTTTTTACTGACCTGTGATTCTGTCAAAGCAGCGTGCAGAGCATGGAGCTATAAATTAAGAAGGAGGGTTTTGGTAGAGTCAAGCCTTTAACTAATCATCTGATGATGACTGGGGTTCTTAAAATTTTGTCTCCTCTCTTAAAATTAATAGAGTTTTCTGTTTTGAATTGATTTTAAAATTATAAATGGAAAATTCCATGCAGGGACAAAGTAGTATTAGTAGCAATGATTTATTCATTACATCTATTTTGGCACCTGATAGCCAGAATGAACAAATGCTTCAGATTTGCCTGTCATCAGTGAATGTCTTCATAGCCTGGCAGAAAACATAACAAGTTGTTATTGTTAACTGATATTTTTACAGTGCACAGAGTGTACTTGCACTTGAAACTGATGCCTTTTGTTATAACACAATAAATACACCTGCAGAGAAGCTGGTAAGCCTTTGGCAGGTATGAATAATAATCTTAAAACCATGTAACATAGGTGTAAATCTCGTAGCTATATGCCTGCTGTTTGTTTCCTCATTAGCAGAAATGATTTGAAAGGCAGATGTTCTTCTTGAAAATCTGAGATACACCTCGAAACTCCCATATTGTTTGTACCTACAGATGAAATTAGAACTTCCTCCTATTGTCTTTGCCGTATGTCCCATCGTCCCTAACTGACGCATATTGTATAGTCTACTCATTTCAAACAAGGCTATGGCATTTTCAAGATGAAACTGTTTCTAAAACTAAAAAATGGCCAAAATCCAAAGATTATTATCACCTCATCCATTCCTTGCAGTGCTGCATGAGAGAATTTTCTATATCACAGGCATAATTTCTGTGATGTTTTCTTTGATTTCACACCAGCAAGATAAGTTATTGCGGCACTTTACTATGATTGAGACCAACTTCTAAGAAAAGGGAGTTGTGATTTAATGGGTATGACTCAATTTGAAGGATTTTAAGTATCTTTCAGGCTGGAAGTCTTTTAAATTATACCTTATATTCTGATTTTGTCATTCAAAGGAACCCCATAAGAAAATATTTATGTAAAGTTTGGGATGAAGACAGGGAATGTCCCAGCTTTTAACTTAAGAAATCAGTTTTTTTAACAGAGCACATATAGCAATATTGAAGGAAAATTTCTAGCTAGCTGTACTCTTAACTCTTACTTTATCACAAAGAAAATATTATCTTTTTTTTTTTTAAATAATTGCACTGGTTGTTAGAAAACATGAACAAAATATTATCTTTTTTTTTTTAAAAATAATTGCACTGGTTGTTAGAAAACATGAATAATTGGGTGCACAAAAGACTTTACAAATCAGATGAATGGCAGAAGGCCAGACATATGTAGAGTGACTAAGTTTTAACTGATGATTTTTCAGATATTCTCTCTACTTTTGTAATAATATGGATGTAGCAAAACATTTGAGATCGGTATATTTTATAGTGAAAGGAAATAGCTTTTCTATGAACCATGGAATTAATCTCTGGAGTTTATTGCTATAGGTCTCCCAGAATATGGTACACTGTTTTTTTTTCTCAAAACAAGATTAGATAATTCTTTATGTAGAAAATAATGTTTGCAATTACATTATATCTGCAGGATAAAAATTATACCTTTATATTTGTAGGTCATCAACTAATCATTAATTCAATAATTCCAGGGAGAGGGGACTTGATTTGGGTAGATGTTGCTCCCTAATATTCAGTAGTGCAACTTCATGGACTTTTCTCTCTAATGTCATAAAATACAAGAAGGAACCAAAAAGCGAACATGCACACCTAGAGTCTCTTTTTGCTTCTTTTCCTGGACCTAGTGCATAGATTATATCATATTTAGTTTGTGGGTGTATTCCAAGAATTGATGACAGGAATAACAAATACATGCATTTGTGAGAACATCTCACCTGAGTACTGGAATGGGTTGCCCAGGTAAGTTACGGAGTTTACCTCCTGAGAGATACTAGAAAAATATGTGGACATGGTCCTGGGTATCTGGCTGTAGGTGGTGCAGCTTCGATGGGGGCCTGGACAAGGTGACCTCCAGAGGTCCCTTCCAACCTCAACCAGTCTGTGATTCTCTAATCCTGTAAGACAAATGGCCCAGTAGTTCTAATTCCTGAAGTTCTAACTAGTAGTGGCAATGACTTCTTTTGGCGTTTTTCCCCTGATAATTAAATGTTAATTCTAATGCAAAAAAAAAATGTATTTAAATATCTTCCACTCCTTTTCAGGGTGCGCAATGATTTTGATGTGCCTACAAACCGATTGATTGGCAGCCATGGCTATTGTACTCAGGTAAGTTAAGTGCACAATTTTGGGGAAGTCATACGGCTCTGCATGCAGAGCTGTGGGCTGACCTCTGTGAGGAGACGGCATTTCTTATTTTAAGTTCCTCATCTTTTACCTTTGTCCTTGGTACTGCCAAGCACCTCCATCCTTTGTTCTGTTTTTTAGAATCATAGAATGTGCTGGGCTGGAAAAGACCTTTAATGGTCATGTAGTCCGACCCCCCTGCAGTGAACAGGAATATCTTTAACTAGATCAGGTTGCTCAGAACCATGTCAAGCTTGAGCTTGAATGTCTCTGGGGATGGAGCCTCCACCACCTCTCTGGGCAACCTTGTATTTTGGTATATTGTTGTCTTTACTTTTCAGGGCCTCAGCGTGAGTCCTTTTTTGGCCTGTTTTTCTGGTTCACATCTGTCTATAGCTGTGTGTACATGTGCTTGTACTCCTTTCATCTGCCTCTCTTGCACCCTGTAGTTGATTTTGTTGCTGAGGTACTGCTGACACCGTGACCTGAGTTTCCTCCCTGCCGTTTCAGAAAGGTGACTGAGGTACAACTCCTCTGTGAACAGTCACTGCCCAGCTGGTGCTGACTGAAGCTAACTGGGACTTCAAACTGGCTACACTGACTTCTTATAGGTGTGCCTAAAAGACATGTGGTGCTTGAAAATCAGCAGTCTGAATTGCTGTCTGATGCTTAGGATCACAATTGTGTGTAGTCTAAATGTCAGCTTGTGTCCTGTACCAAATGTGACCCACTGTCTCTAGGCCTGTAGAGGCATTCACCCAGATGGAAACACTTTGCCTTGGACATGTACGTGGAACAAGAGGAAATGGCCTCAAGTTGCACCAGGGAGGTTTAGATTGGATATTAGGAAAAATTTCATTACTGAGAGTGGTGAAGCGTTGGAACAGGCTGCCCAGGGAACTGGTGGAGTTGCCATCACTGGAAGTTTTCAAAAAATGTGTAGACGTGGCACTTTGGGATATAGTTCAGTGGTCATGGTGGTGTTGGGTTGACGATTGGACTGGATGATCTTAGAGGTCTTTTCCAACCTTAATGATTCTATGATTCTGTGAATGTAGATCCCAGAATTCTGGGATATGGATTCCCCTAAAGCTGCGACATGGGCAGTCTGAATATGTACTGCCATTTTGGCTGCAAAAGGCGAGCCTCATGTTCTTTTGTACTGTTGCTAGAAGACTTTCATACTGTGGTTAGGCAGCGATACCTCAAGAAGATGGTGGAACACCACTGGTGGCTTAGAAGTCCTAAAAACATCAGTAAGAACCTATAAACTCTGAGGAGTCTTTCGGGAGAAGCATGGGGCTATAAATGCATGCAATATTTTTAAAATCGTACATCAAGTCCAAACTGGCAATACCAGTGTTATTCATGTCTTCAGGCGTGGTAATTCGGACTATTTTTTCTGGAAACCTTGTTCTTTCCCCTCGTGTTTCTTGACATACGTTATTTATTAGTAGTTAGCTGGTTAGTTGCTATAGCACAGTCTGCTGCTAGATGTTGTTAGTGCTGTTACATTCTAGGTGGCCTTTGTGGGATCTTATGCTAAGCCAAATGTCTAATGTCTCTGTCCCTTGAACTTTGTGCACACACACATGGATGCACTCCCTCCCTCTGACATGTGTTTGGCTTCTGACGCACCCATACTTCTAGTTCACTTGAAGAGGATATAATCAACAATCTGCTATGGTAAATGTGAGGCATATTAGTGATATGGACCAGATGTGAATCCATATGTGTGAATGTCGTACTGAATGAGGCTTAAGTTCATCCAGAAAGAAAGAGAAAAAAAAATCTTGTAACAAATCTTGTCCAACATACAAAATACATTCACAAAGCACATGCAGTACTGTACAGATAGCACTGTACAGGCTTTCAATTTGTATCACCCGTGATGTAGCTTTTGTTGTAAAAAAGGACAACAAAATGTTATGATTTAAAAGAATTCTACACTAATATGAGAAGGTTCAGAGCTGGATTTAAGATTAAATTAATTATCAGCAGTTTTCCTCTGTAAAGATGAACACTGAGAACTCTGCTAGCATTTCCTCATTTTATTTTGAGAGTAGACTTTCCTCAAAGCATCTGGAAAAAATTTTCTAAGCAATCCTAATTTTAACCTTAAACTTAAAACCACTACGTAAATTAAGGGTCTGATACATATGTAACTATCAATCCTGAATCAGTCTTTTACTGATGTCTGGTAGACAAGATGTTAAAGTACTGTTTTTCTGTCGTTTTTTTAACATGTCACAAACAGGAATTGGTGAACCTGCTTTTGACTGGCAAAGCTGTGTCCAATGTCTTCAACAATGTAATAGAGCTGGACTCTGGAAATGGCAATATCACAATTTTGAAAGGTATCACAAGCCGCAGTGATATTGGGTTGCTGTCTCTCTTCGAGCACTATGATGTTTGTCAGGTATGTTTTCCATTCTTCTGATTTTAATCAAAAAGGAAACAAAATCAAAATTGGCTTGCAATGAGTATAGCAGTGAAGAAATTATGGGCTTGATTCAGTTGCAGTCACTCAGAGGCATCTATTGCTGGTTTAGATGCCCAAAGGCAGAGTGTGATCTCCCCTCTGGATGCAGATTCTGTGTCACAGATTCTTGGTAAATGACTTGGGTAGTCAAGAGCATCTCAAATCTTACACGCCTGTGTCGTTTTCTACCTGGACTCAGCTTGCAGAGTAACGCTTTTCTGCTTAAGTCACTACTGTATAGATCTGTATACATGAACTAGAATCTGCTCAGTGCAGTCTGCGGAAATGAAAGATATTCAGCTGAATAAACATGACTCTGTAGTCTAGGCTGAGCTGAGCAAGTTCCTCTGACCGTATTCGCTAGATCTCCACTGATTATAGTGGAGCTGAGACACCCACTCACCTGTGGATGCGTACCTCTTAGTCATGTATCTATAAGCAACTCTATCTGGAGCTGAAACTCACTCTAAGCATGCAGTTTTCCACGTGTTCCTATTTGATGGGGAGCCACAGTGATAGAATCCTCTAGTCTGTGCTGGTGGTCATATCGTGTTAGCAGCAAAGAAAATAATAGTCAATTAAAATAGCTGTCAATATAATGAGAATATGCCCTTTCACATGTCTTTGAAGTCATCATGAAAATTAAAAGATAGATTAAGGGAGTGGAACATCTCCCTGATGAGAAAAGGCTGAAGGAGCTGGGTCTCTTTAGCTTGGAGAAGAGGAGGCTGAGGGGTGACCTCATAAATGTTTATAAATACGTCAAGGGGGAGTGTCAGGAGGACGGAGCCAGGCTCTTCTCAGTGACGTCCAGGGACAGGACACGGGGCAATGGGTACAAGCTGGAACATAGGAGGTTCCACAAAAACATGAGGAAAAGCTTTTTCCCTGTGAGGGTGACAGAGCCCTGGCACAGGCTGCCCAGGGAGGGTGTGGAGTCTCCTTCTCTGGAGCCCTTCAAAACCTGCCTGGACACGTTCCTGTGTGACCTACTGTAGGTGATCCTGCTCTGGCAGGGGGCTGGACTAGATGATCTTCCATCCCCTAACATTCTCTGATTCTGTGATTAAAAATTTCAAAGAAGTGACAGCCATTAATTTACCTCTGGAAAAACTTGGGTAAGGGTTTCGGTAGTTCTTCACCAACAGACAGTGCTGTCACGATGGCCATCTTTCCCT